TTCCAAACGTCCAAACAATAAATGGAGGAAATCATGTTGCACTTTTGAGGCAATTTTGGGTTAAAATTAAGACTAAGAGATGTGAGAAGCTGAGAAAAGGTGTGTTCTTCCATCAGAACAATGCACCAGTACACAATTGGCTACAATCCACGAGTGTGGCCCTTGAAATCCTTCAACACCCACCTTGTTCTCCTGATCTGACTCTGACATCTGTTCCCTAACATGCAGGAACCTCAAGCCAGAACCCGTTCCCACTCGAACGATGATGTCACATCAGCTGTGGAGAATGTTTTGGATAGCCACGAGAAACATTTCTACAAAAAAGGGATTAAATCCCTCCAATATTGTTGACAAAAGTGGATCAATGTAGAAGGGGATTATATTGAAAAATATAACATTTTAATGTCTTTAGGTCAAGTCTCATATGTGAGGCTAAGAAGATTTCAATCAAACTTCATATCAGCTGCCGACTTGGGATTGAATATTGGCTGTGAAGCAGGTTTAGATAATTTCCTGGATAAGCCACACAGAACTTCCAGTCTTTATCAATTAAAATCAACCAGACAAAATGGCTGCTTATACCTTAAAGCAACAGAAGCCTCAACACTCCTCCAACCTTAAAACAAAATGGCTGAAATCACAAATCAATGCAAGTCCGCTGCCTTCATTATTAGAAAATGACTCCGAGATTAATACAGCAGACATTTGGCTAAATTTACCAAGGAAGATCTTCCCTTTGATCAATGAGTGCGGACCCCATTCTCCTTGATTACTAAATGTCTTCCCAGCAAAAAACAATGCACCAACCATGTAAGGAGTAGTAGGAGGATAACAGGGCATCAGATTACTGGAATTGTCTTTTAAACCCAAAATACTCTGCACTGAGTTGTGGGCGGAGACCAGCGGGCACTTAGTCATTTGGGAATATTTCCAGCCACTAATGTCGGTTTGACATCTTTACCCTTAGATTAACGTTATTCTATGTTGCACAATAACAAAATGATTGTGATAATTGTCAACACTGATCGGTGGAGATGGCCATGCTGTGGTGGCTTATATAGTTCAGAGGTAAGGTTGCTCAAAGGTACTGTCTGCCTGGGGTTACCAGATTGGTGCATTGTCTGCATATATGTAATGGCGCCACACTGACCTGGGCCCAATTGCACAAAGCGATCTTAGTGCCAAGATGATCGTAACGCCCATTATTTAACATAGGCTTACAATAGTTATAGTGCCAAGATCGCTTTGTTCAAGTGGGGCCAGGTCAAGCCAGTTGTATAATGGGTACCTGGAAGGCTGAAGTGCATCTCAACTTTTTTTCAGGTATCTTATATGGGATTCTGTGTGGGTCGCTCTGCCAGGTGTTGTTGTTTAGTGGGTGACTTGATAGCACAGACATGTCTCCCTTTATGAGTGAGGAATCTTCTTTTATCAATTCCACATCTCATCACACCAATATCAGCCCAAATGTACAAGAAAAGGCTACAAACTAGCATTTTTTAAGGGAGAGAAATCTCCATTTCACAAATGACACTGGCTTCCCAAAACCACTTTCAAGGAAACACCAAAACAGACCCCCTTTAAGAGCGAGAAACTTCTTTCACAAATCGCAGAGCTGAGCAGAATGAATCTTCCCTTATACTCTCAAGGAAACACACCAAAACAGACCCCCTTTAAGAGCGAGAAACCTCTTTCACAAATCGCAGCGCTGAACAGCACGAATCTTCCCTGTACACTCATGGACCCCCTTTAAGTGCGAGAAACCTCTTTTACAAATCGCAGCGCTAAGCAGCACGAATCTTCCCTGTACTCTCAAGGAAACACACCAAACAGACCCCCTTTAAGAGTGAGAAATCTCCTTTTCACAAATGGCACTGGCGTCCCAACACCCATCTTCAACACTACTCTAACTACACAATCAAATGGCTGATGACTTTGATAAATCAATGCATGTTCCTCGGGCCGTGAGCTTGTCTCGCCTTCCGTAGTCTGAGTAAGAAAATATTGTAAGTGAGAGTGAGCATCCATAATTGACGAACCTATGAATTCTCCACCGTCATGCTGGTCCCCTTGCCTCCGAGTCCCAAGGTGTCTTCATGGGCTAATTATGAAAGCAGGCTTTGGACAATCTCATGAAGGGAGTAATCAGATAGCAATACCATTTTGTGAGTTCCACTCTCATGAACTCTGAAAGCAAGCTGATACTGAGTGTTGATGATGGAAGCCGTCAGCTCATGTGTGTCAGTTGTCAAATTCATTTTTATTAATTCATTTGACTTATGACATAGTGCTAAAAACTGAATTCATTATGAAGTGACACTACTTGAACGGGGAACTTTTCCCCACACCTCCAGCAAACACATACGCATGCATGCTCCCACGATTTACAGCTACATCGCAGCAATAAAACATCTGAGCAAGTGTATGGAAAAACATCCATGTTGTCAGGGTATAGTGACATGCGTTCAGCAAAGTCCCACATGTGATCCTCATTAGTAAGCTCTTGCAAACATGTTGAAGGAAGACCTATTCTACCAACATTCCCAATAGGAGACAAACATGGGGTACTGATGGTATTAAATACTCACTATCCCAATAGGAGACAAACATGGGGTACTGATGGTATAAAATATTCACTATCCCAATAGGAGACAAACATGGAGTACTGATGGTATACAATATTCACTATCCCAATAGGAGACAAACATGGGGTACTGATGGTATAAAATACTCACTATCCCAATAGGAGACAAACATGGAGTACTGATGGTATAAAATATTCACTATCCCAATAGGAGACAAACATGGGGTACTGATGGTATAAAATACTCACTATCCCAATAGGAGACAAACATGGAGTACTGATGGTATAAAATATTCACTATCCCAATAGGAGACAAACATGGGGTACTGATGGTATAAAATACTCACTATCCCAATAGGAGACAAACATGGGGTACTGATGGTCTAAAATACTCACTATCCCAATAGGAGACAAACATGGGGTACTGATGGTCTAAAATACTCACTATCCCAATAGGAGACAAACATGGGGTACTGATGGTCTAAAATACTCACTATCCCAATAGGAGACAAACATGGGGTACTGATGGTATAAAATACTCACTATCCCAATAGGAGACAAACATGGAGTACTGATGGTATAAAATATTCACTATCCCAATAGGAGACAAACATGGGGTACTGATGGTATAAAATACTCACTATCCCAATAGAAGAAAAACATGGGGTACTGATGGTCTAAAATACTCACTATCCCAATAGGAGACAAACATGGGGTACTGATGGTCTAAAATACTCACTATTCCAATAGGAGACAAACATGGGGTACTGATGGTCTAAAATACTCACTATTTCAATAGGAGACAAACATGGGGTACTGATGGTCTAAAAAACTCACTATCCCAATAGGAGACAAACATGGGGTACTGATGGTCTAAAATACTCACTATCCCAATAGGAGACAAACATGGGGTACTGATGGTCTAAAATACTCACTATCCCAATAGGAGACAAAAGTGGCTTACTATGGTCTATTCTACCCACAATCCCAACAACCCTTGAAGATCCGGGGTAGTATAGGTCTTCAGCAACCCATGCTTGCTGTAAAAGGATACTATGCTTGTCATAAGAGGCGACTAACGGGATCGGGTGGTCAGGCTTGCTGACTTGGTTGATGCATGTCATCGTATCCCAATGGCGTAGATGGATGCTCATGATGTCAATCACTGGATTGTCTGGTCCAGACTCGATTATTTACAGACCTCCGTCATATAGCTGGAATATTGCTAAGTGGGTCATTAAATAACAAACATATAAAACACACAAACACAACCCCAACAGGAGACAATCGTGGGGTCATAAAACTGTGGTCTATTCTACCTTTAACTAGCTCAAGCAGGAGTAGAAGTTAATATTACAGACATACACAGGGATTAATATGGACCGGGCCAAAAGACAGGATATTCGACCCCAAGGAAGAAGCAAATGACAGTAAAACTGCCCAACATGGAATTAAGATTTTCTCCATTCATGTTAATATTCTTACAACTAATATTGTCTTGTAGAGGGGACTTGTATTTCCCTTCAAACAGGACCAATGAAATGGAAGAGGTAATTTTGTGTTGGGTACAATGTTGCAATACCTATGAATATAAGAACATGCAAACTTCATAAATCCCATTTTTTGCACAAAGTAAAGAATTTTTCCCAATTTGCAACCCAAGAGCTAATTTGGGAATCCCAGATAAATCCCAGATAAATCCCAGATAAATCCCTGATATAAGTATACTGTATATAAGCAAGTAAGACCTAAAGCCTGATTTACAATGCTTCAAACTACATCCTTCTCAACAATCTCTGGCATTAGCAGGCTAACCTACTGCACTGACATCTGTATTTGAAAAATTGATCAAACAGAAATTGAATAAAACTATTGTTTTATCTTCACTAATAAGTTAATTAACTCTCCACAGCTTTGAAGTTTATTTATATAAGATTTTAACATTTTCAATCAGCTGGTTGAGCCATTATTTACTACAGTGAGTCCCACACAGCTGACAGTTCCGCTGATTCCGAGATACTGAAGATGTAGCCTTTGCTGTGAACTCTGGGATGTGTTCGTGAGATCTGTTCTCATTCCAAGAACAACATGTTTCTATCAGTTAAGCAGTACAATGAGATGGAACCACAGACTTTGAAATTTGTTGGTCTTCTGAAGATGGGTTACTGAGTCTTTTCTCAACACAAGGTGTATTTGTATCATACTTTCTTGTGGCTGTGAACAGTTGTTTCCATTTTTCCATTTTTGATATTATCTGTAGTTGGTAACATTTTCATAAATCAGAATTAAAGAAAATCTGAAAATAAAATCTCTTTTATTAATGTTTCGAAAATTACTTCAAATTGATACAAGCCGCAATAACATATTTACTTTGTTACACAGTGTTTTTTTCTTGGTAATATGATCTCCGTTATATGTCTTCAAGATAAGCCATCCCTAGGCCCCTCTGCATAAGGACCAGCACTGAGTCTGTTAATAGAATGTCATTTTGTAACTTCAAACTCCACAATCTCTGCTCAGATCCGGGCACATTCTGAACACTGGAGGATATAGTATATTGTCTATTCAGTTTACAAAAATCAAAATCCTCTAAACTAAATCTTGTGTAGCAAAGTCAGATTACACAATGATACAAAAAGTAGACATACAAGTCCATAGGTGCCCATTTACATCTTGCCATGATCCCAAAAAGCTAAATATCTACTGTCAAGTTAAAGTATTTAAAGTTCCGAAATTGCTATTGAGAATCACATCTTGAACTTGCTTATAAGCAATACATTTGCAGAAAAAAGTCAAGCCCATTACATCAGTAGAAAATTAGTATGGAAATGTGTAACATTCTCCGAAAGACACCACTCCAAGATGTAGCTGCAGTAGAGTTAGCATTGTATACAAATCACAGCGTACAAGGACGAAATAGTCAACTTGATGATAGGCCAATACAGCAGAACATTGGACTGGAAATGTGTAACATTCTCCGAAACGCACCACTCCAAGATGTAGCTGCAGTAGAGTTAGCATTGTATACAAATCACAGCGTACAAGGACGAAATAGTCAACTTGATGATAGGCCAATACAGCAGAACATTGGACTTGAAATGTGTAACATTCTCCGAAACACAACACTCCAAGAACTAGCGTAGTGCACAAATCTGTGGACAAGACTTTCTAGCCTGTAGGTAGTCAGGCACTCCAGTTGCCTTGTCTAAGCCTGTATGCGGAATAAGATCCATGTATTTGCTTGAACTGTAATTCATGAATAGCTGAATGTAGACTGTCAAGTGAAGGAGTGTGGAGAGAATGCATGAAAGTGGATCCACCGTGAGTATAGCTCAGGCTCTTTTTTAACACTGCTATTCCTAGATTGTATACTACTCTAAAGAAATTACAGAGCACCTGATTCTTTCATATTCCTATAGTTAATCTGTCATGACAATGCCATTCAGGAAACAGAACTATCTATCAATGATTCTGGCATGTGAGTGAGTTGCGATAACCCCGCTTTGAACAGTATTCCTGTTAAATCACAGCATGTTAATGTGGGAGGAGAGCCCGAAGTGATGCAGGTGTCAGACACATATTGGTGAAACCCTCTGCAGGTCAAAGAGCATCTGTTCCTGCAGGTCTCAAATAGTCATTTGGCTATACCTCTGGATTTTCGTCTTTACACAGTGGAAACTGTATTTGGTTTTTGGTATTTGTGACTCGAACAATGTTGCAATTAATGTTATTTAGATATATCCCCGGTTATCCTATTTTCGAACATTAATTATTTCACCGCAAATATAAAAAAATTATGACATTAGTACTTAAAATTAATTACATTAGTATTGATATTTCTGTTCAATGCCTACTTTAGAAGAAATTTCATTATTATTTATGCATTACTGTCCATCGACTTTAGGAGGAATTATACACGAGTACAATTACAGATTGTTTATGAGGTGTGTTGACCACAATTAGCTGGTCATTTCATGTTCATGTGGGAGACGACAATCTACAGTTATCAAATTTCTTTGACAATGTGTGTTCAGATTGAATTGAATATATTCAAAGTGTTAAGACATGAAATTAAGCGACTGTTGTAAATGGTGGCAAAAAATATTATTAACATTCCAGAATGAGATGAAACATGGTGCTATCGTCAGTTTTGCTGTCTATTTCCGTCTGAAGTGTGTATACTGTATCAAAGGAAATACTGTGTAATTTTCAATTAATTAGAAGTGACCGTTCATCATATGTTCATTGTACAATGAATATTGCTCCAGGTTCACTCTTTTGTTTAATGAGCAACAATTAGGTCATTTATTTCTCGCAGAAGGCGGCATGTTTGCCAAGTGCAGCACACAGACCCTTATGTCATTGCTTAGATATTTCTATATCAGTTAATATCACGAGTGTCAGAAATGCACTATCCTTTTATATCTTTACACAAGGCCAGACACTCTGTACAGTACCGCTCGCCTTGTATCGCAGTTTCAAAAGTATAATCGCAAAGCATGCACAAAAACTTCATATCTACTTTGTCTAGGTGATTATTCTATCTTTTCAATACATAATACCTCCCAATTCTTTATTGCTATGAAAAAATATCGACTGAAAGCTGTTGACTCGCCACTTTGAAGCCAACTGGGCACAAATGGCCGACATCAGACCTGCACGGAATGGGGGGTATCGGAAAGCAGCTCTCTGTCAACGGCTTTATGTCGATATTATTTGATTGCAATAAAGGATTGGGAGGTATCATGTCTCCTTTTACTTTTTGTAATACTGTCATTCCAAAATTGAAATTTGCATGTGTCTAAAAAATTTACCCGTCATTGCTTTTTTCACTCTTGATTTCTGAATGGACGTTGATTTCTTTGATTTCTGCTAGGATTTAAGTGACAAAAAATATCTTTAACAACTTAGATGCTGTTTTGAACAGAATAAGATTTTTGTGCGCTACCTGTCTTGTTCTTGCCTCAGAGACCATGGAACCCGTGACACCGCAGGAAGGACAAACTACGTGTATGTCAACACAGCAAAATTACTCCTTATGTGTCTGTAGCCAAGCTTTGTTTTGTTTGGTGTTTAACGTCGCACTCAGCAATATTCCAGCTATATGACGGAGGTCTGTAAATAATCGAGTCTGGACCAGACAATCCAGTGATTAATATCATGAGCATCAATCCATGCAATTGGGATCGATGACATGCATCAACCATGTCAGCGAGCCTGACCACCCGATCCCATTAGTCGTTTCTTACGACAAGTATAGTCACCTTTTACGGCAAGCATGGGTTGCTGAAGACCTATTCTACCCCGGATCTTCACGGGTCCTGTAGCCAAGCCCTGAGAGTCGGCACACCATATTGCATCACAACATGACGTCATTACTATACGTCATAATACTACGTCAGATCCGGCAACAGACTAAAAATGCGGAAGCTAGCATGAGCTAGGCAAAACCCCTTACTATTTTTAGTGTAATGCATACACTACACTACCAAATCGGTTTTGGCCAATCAGGAATCAACAATGTTGCACACTCCATTGTCAGCTGTTGCAAACCTCCATGCAGCGATATAGAAATCACTTATGCAGGATGAGAGATTCCATGCAATGTTGCGAGTATGCAACTCAATGTTTCGACTGACAACTATTGATGATTCAATAAACTATAGTGTAAGTTTTTTAATGACATTTTAAGGTATGGTAGATGATGTTATTCAAGCAATATGACATTTTCGATTTTTTGTAGGAGAAAATGTGAGTGTCAATGCTGATGAAACTACAGGAAGATGTACATGATTTTTAATCCCGTTGAATGAGTGAGTTAGTGAGTGAGTTGGTTTTAACACTGCTTTTAACAGTATTCCAGTTATATCGCGGCGTGTCAGCTTAATGTGGGAGGAAACCCACGAGCACGGGTATGGTGCTGACAAACCTATTAACATAATCAGGGCGAACCGGGATTCGAACCCACAATCATAGGTTTCTGGCGTGCCCAAGGGACGCAACCCTGCACAGCGAATCACGGCGCCTTAGACGACTGGGCCACCCGTGCCCCCCCGTTGAATGAATATTGATGTGATATCTATGACAACTATGAAAGAATATCCGAATCGCGGCTAAAGTAAATCCCTGACAATGATTGATAAGTGAAATAATTTGGAAAAGAAGGCCTCAAGTATTAAGGAACTGTCTTGTCACTTAGAGCCAAAAAGGGAATAAATATTGGCTGCTAGAGCTGAAAAGGGGATGAGTATAGGCTGCTAGAGTTGAGAAGGGGATGAGTATAGGCTGCTAGAGCTGAGAAGGGGATGAGTATAGGCTGCTAGAGTTGAGAAGGGGATGAGTATAGGCCACTAGAGTTGAGAAGATGAGTATAGGCTGCTAGTGTTGAGAATGGGATGAGCATAGGCTGCTAGAGCTGAGAAGGAGATGAGTATAGGCCACTAGAGCTGAAATGGGGATGAGAATAGGCTGCTAGAGCTGAGAATTGGATGAGTATAGGCTGCTAGAGCTGAGAAGGAGATGAGTATAGGCCACTAGAGCTGAAATGGGATGAGTATAGGCTGCTAGAGCTGAGAAGGGGATGAGTATAGGCGGCTAGAGCTGAGAAGGGGATGAGTATAGGCTGCTAGAGCTGAGAAGGAGATGAGTATAGGTTGCTAGAGCTGAGAAGGGGATGAGTATAGGCTGCTAGAGCTGAGAAGATGAGTATAGGCCACTAGAGCTGAGAAGGGGATGAGTATAGGCCACTAGAGCTGAGAAGGGGATGAGTATAGGCCACTAGAGCTGAGAAGGGGATGAGTATAGGCCACTAGAGCTGAGAAGGGGATGAGTATAGGCCACTAGAGCTGAGAAGGGGATGAGTATAGGCCACTAGAGCTGAGAAGGGGATGAGTATAGGCCACTAGAGCTGAGAAGGGGATGAGTATAGGCCACTAGAGCTGAGAAGGGGATGAGTATTGGCTTCTAGAGCTGAGAAGGAGATGAGTATAGGCCACTAGAGCTGAGAAGGGGATGAGTATAGGCTGCTAGAGCTGAGAAGGGGATGAGTATATGCCACTAGAGCTGAGAAGGGGATGAGTATAGGCCACTAGAGCTGAGAAGGGGATGAGTATAGGCTGCTAGAGCTGAGAAGGGGATGAGTATAGGCTGCTAGAGCTGAGAAGGGGATGAGTATAGGCCACTAGAGCTGAGAAGGGGATGAGTATAGGCCACTAGAGCTGAGAAGGGGATGAGTACAGGCCACTAGAGTTGAGAAGGGGATGAGTATAGGCCACTAGAGCTGAGAAGGGGATGAGTATAGGCTGCTAGAGTTGAGAAGGGGATGAGTATAGGCTGCTAGAGTTGAGAAGGGGATGAGTATTGGCTGCTAGAGCTGAGAAGGGGATGAGTATAGGCTGCTAGAGCTGAGAAGGAGATGAGTATAGGCCACTAGAGCTGAAATGGGGATGAGAATAGGCTGCTAGAGCTGAGAATTGGATGAGTATAGGCTGCTAGAGCTGAGAAGGAGATGAGTATAGGCTGCTAGAGCTGAAATGGGGATGAGTATAGGCTGCTAGAGCTGAGAAGGGGATGAGTATAGGCTGCTAGAGCTGAGAAGGAGATGAGTATAGGCCACTAGAGCTGAAATGGGGATGAGAATAGGCTGCTAGAGCTGAGAATTGGATGAGTATAGGCTGCTAGAGCTGAGAAGGAGATGAGTATAGGCCACTAGAGCTGAAATGGGATGAGTATAGGCTGCTAGAGCTGAGAAGGGGATGAGTATAGGCGGCTAGAGCTGAGAAGGGGATGAGTATAGGCCACTAGAGCTGAGAAGGGGATGAGTATAGGCCACTAGAGCTGAGAAGGGGATGAGTATAGGCTGCTAGAGCTGAGAAGGGGATGAGTATTGGCTGCTAGAGCTGAGAAGGAGATGAGTATAGGCCACTAGAGCTGAGAAGGGGATGAGTATAGGCCACTAGAGCTGAGAAGGGGATGAGTATAGGCCACTAGAGCTGAGAAGGGGATGAGTATAGGCCACTAGAGTTGAGAAGGGGATGAGTATAGGCTGCTAGAGCTGAGAAGGGGATGAGTATAGGCTGCTAGAGCTGAGAAGGGGATGAGTATAGGCCACTAGAGCTGAGAAGGGGATGAGTATAGGCCACTAGAGCTGAGAAGGGGATGAGTATAGGCCACTAGAGTTGAGAAGGGGATGAGTATAGGCTGCTAGAGCTGAGAAGGGGATGAGTATAGGCTGCTAGAGTTGAGAAGGGGATGAGTATAGGCTGCTAGAGTTGAGAAGGGGATGAGTATTGGCTGCTAGAGCTGAGAAGGGGATGAGTATA